AAGTCGCTGCCGTAAGGAGATATTTCCTTTGTATTGCTTACCAACATTGTACTGTACTTCTTTCCTTTATTTTTCTTTACACATTTGGAAACTTGCATGGTGCACTTTCACCCCCACCTTCCCCAAATTAGGAAGCTATCAAGTCGATTAGTAGGTATAGGATGTCTATGTGTGTTGATGACTACTGCGTTGTGTAAGGGCTTCTTGTACGTAAAATGGGGCACATTCCCAGTAAAAATATCACACAGAGCTGACAAAATTTGCCTACATGTGTAAATATATGTTGGGATTTGGAGAAAAAAAACTTGTAAAACATACCGAATTTACCGTGACAGCAGTGATTAATTTTGGTGCCGATTGTTGGTGGGCTGATCAGCATGTCGGATTATTTCTGAGAACGTTCTTCGTGTGGGAAATCACAAAATCATTAGCACTAAGTAAGCTGGTTTACCTTATTTCTGTGTCAGAGTACCCTGTACAAATGACATGAATCGACATGCGATGATTACCAAAACAATTTGACAATCGGTGTCTCATTGTTCACCGCCCCCTCAACACGGTGATTTGTTATGACGATGATTTGTTATGAGGGGTATTTTTTCTCCGGCCCTTTTCGTCGGAAATTACGAATTCATTGGCTCTAATATATCCTAGTTTACTTTAGTTGTTTCATCCGGTTATTCTGTACATTGATTTTACCTAGCAAAGGAAACAATCGGTGTCTGGCTTTGTTATATTTACACTATTGCAACAACTTATGTGGGCCCCCAGCGTGGGCCTCGTGTTTCACTATTTTTTTCATTGAATATTACACGGCACGATATCCCTCAAATCGGAAGGCACATTTATTGCTCGAGTTACTGTTCCTATTAAGCCATGGAGCAAAAAAGAAAATATGGTTAAGCTGAATACCATGCTTCCTGTGGAATGTATAGATCGTGATGTCGGCATTAACTACTGAATGCACAGTAGTTAGGTTAAAATAAAGTGTAACCCCCAAACAATTGCTACAAAAAGTTTTTCAACTGATTCTAGTACGTGTTAGTGTACTTTTTAACATACTGAAAGTTTACCAAAGTAGGACCCCCGGAAATGTGTTTTTTTCAAGATGGCGTCCAAGATGGCCGACGAAACTTCTTAATGATTATAACTCTGTAACTAACAACTCAAATTTCATGATCTTGGTGTCTATATCTAGGTTTTCGGGGGCAAAGAACACATTAAGACCATAAAAAATGATGTTGGCCTATAATGTAACAGAAATCCAGTATGGTATCAAAAATAGCTGCCAACACCTCCAAATGACCGCAAGTCCATAACTATTGACACAAATGTGATAATCTTGATGTCTATCCCCAGGTTTTTGGGGGCAAGGAACACATTAAGAGAACTTTGGATATCACTGAGCTATTGAATCATTATGAAATGTAATTCATGACCTTCAGTTGTCCACTATCACCTATTGCACAAACACCTTTGTCCATGGAATAAGTTTCAGAGTTTTCAGTTTCGTGTGTCATTCTCTTCCTCGGTACCAACATCTTGAGTGTTGTTTGGGTTGTCACAGTTTTCAGTTTGGCAAGAGCCACATACAGCTGTGCAGGGGAGTCCATAGCGTCTGCAGCTGCATCTAGAGGATTTGCATCCCACCAAACAGTTGCAATGGATAATTTTCAAGAGTTTGTCATAATTGGAATTAACTGATCATTTTCCTGTTTCCATCCCCATTCGATTGGATTCATTTCATTTGCCATCCCCCATCCATACCATAATTTGAAAGTACACACAATGGCTATGGAATCTTGTTGCAGGTAATGTTGGGGGAAGCCGTTCAAGAGTGACAAATGATTCAGCAGTTGCCACTTTCTTGGTGAAAATGGTATGGCGCAGTGATGATAGCGTATCATTATACTTGCCACCAAAGAGATTAACCATCATGTCTTTGCCAAGATCTGATATGTCCTCCTGAGATTTGTTTTGAAGGATGAATGCACTAGCACAGGACTTCATGACAGGATCAGATTTCACAAATATCCGGTAGGCTGACTTTTTTTCCGATGCCGAAAATCCTTGAAGTTCAAACACAGCCTGAGTAGGCATGTACAAAGAGCAACTCATTGCACACATCATCTCCTAAAGTTTCTTTCAACAGGTTAATGTTATACACTTTGTGTTCTTTTGACTGCTTATTAGCATCAGAACGGAAGAAGATGATCTTATTGTCTGTTCTGAAGTAATGAAGGAGCAAGATCAGCGAATCTGTATCCTCACCGACCAATGTTGTGGTGCAATGACGGGATTGTTCAACAGTTGCCTTAACGATATCAACGTCTGCATCTCCTGGTGACTAAATGACATGGCATCCCCTTTCAGTTAGTGCTGTGCTGATGAGTGCAATCATGTCTCCCTTGTTTTTGCCTCCTTTTTGCCTGCAGTGAGTGCAGATTTTTTCCTTGTCTTTGATGTGTATTGTCTTTTATGGAAGGACCTTCACCATAGCCATCGAACACCACTGTCGCTAGTCCGTAATGTCTCACAGTGAAGTCTGCATAATACTTGGCTATTGTATCGTCTTTCTTCCAAGGTAAACGGTGGAGCAAAGAACCACCTCAAGCACGTACCAATCTGTTTCAGGAATAGAGTTCATCACAGCTTCACTTGATAAGTCCGCAGCATGGTCGCAAAATGTCTGCTCTTCGAAAAATGTTCCTGGCCTCAAAGAGGGCTGGAGGTTAGGGGCTTAGTTCATATGTCAAAACTATTCAAGGGAAAGATCTCCTGACCTTGACACCGCAAGGAAACGCTGGAACAGAAGGGCAGTACGATTTGCCTTGATCAACATTCTTGCCATGTCAACCATGCGCTGATAAATTAGTCACAACTGGCTGAACTTTGAGGTCTGAGGAAGTTCAGATTTCTTCTTCTCCATTACTGTCTTGAGTTGAATCAAAACCTCAGAACAAGCAGCATCTCCTAGCGTTGTCTCTCCGCTAAGAAGGGAGGAGTACAATTCCTCAGCTTGATCCAGCAATGTCTGAATCTCGGGATCGTCTTTGACTATTTCCGTTATAAGCTGGTTATGTAGGCACTTGTCAAAAAGAAGATGGCCCCACAAAGCCCTCTGGACAGCTTTCCCAGTCATCATGTGCACAACTGCATTTTCTCCAAGACAGTCTTGTGTATGTTTTTGAGACCAGTTCCTTCCATGAGAGTTCCTATGGCCCCCAGCAAGTTCATAAGTGTATGGAAACACCCCAACATCAGTACAATGCCATTCAGGTGACTACTTTGTGGCACATCAACGATGATTTTGGCAGCCTTCCAAAACAAGGGCTGGTCAAATGTTACAATGGTGAGAAGGTTGTGCTTCATGGCAAGGTTGCAAACAAAGGCTAATGTAGACACAATACATGATTTGTCTTCAGAGTACATATTGATCATAGGCAAGAATTTGACTGAGAACTGCCCAGGGTGCTAGCTCCCCTGATGCAAGATATGCATCATCCCTAGCCAATTCGGTGTTGCCTCTTTGAAGCCGAGGAAAACTTCCCACAGAATATCGATCCTCTTGTCAGAGTCAAGAAATCTCGGCAGGTCCTGGAAAACTACCTCATGACAAGCATGCCTTGCAAACCTGTACTCCAAGATTGTTTTAAGTTTTCAGTCCTGAGATCTGTCTTCGTTGAATGATATGGTTCGTCCTTTTTCTAGGGGTGATAGAAGCAATGACACCCATTCCATGAAATGTCCCTTTGCCGTCAATAGTGATAATGTTGTGATCAATTGGGATGGAAACAGGAAAATGATCAGTTAATTCCAATTATGACCCCAAAAAATGCTGCGTCTGACAAACTCTTGAAAATTATCCATTGCAACTGTTTGGTGGGATGCAAATCTTCTCGATGCAGCTGCAGACGGTATGGACTCCCCTGCACTGCTGTGTGTGGCTCTTGCCAAACTGAAAACTGTTACAACCCAAACAACACTCAAGACGTTGATACTGGGGAAGAGGATGATACTCAAAACTGAAAACTCTGAAACTTATTCCATGGACAAAGGTATTTGTGCAATAGGTGATAGTGGACAGCTGAAGGTCATGAATTAAATTTCATAATGATTCAATAGCTCAGTGATATCCAAAGTTCTCTTAATGTGTTCCTTGCCCCAAAAAACCTGGGGATGGACATCAAGATTATCACATTTGTGTCAATAGTTATGAACTTGCAGTCATTTGGAGGTGTTGGCAGCCATTTTTGATGCTATACTGGATTTGTGTGTTACCGGTACATAATCAGCCAACATCATTTTGTATGATCTTAATGTGTTCTATATCCCCAAAAACCTAGATATAGACACTGAGATCATCAAATTTGAGTTGATAGTTACAGAGTTATGATCTTTCAGATGTTTCGGCGGCCATCTTGGACGCCATCCTACTTTGGTAAACTTTTAGTATGTTAAAAAGTACACTGAAACCTACCAGAATCAGTTGAGAAACCTTTTGTAGCAATTTTTTGGGGGTTGAGGGGGTATTTTCCATATATTGACCTGACTACAGTGGAAACCACTGGGGCAACGCCACGCTGACCGGCGTCTCCTGCCTGGTAACAAAAAAACATGCGGGACGGGCTGCAGGGTTTTAAGCCGTTGTAGATGTTTTCGAAACGAAAATTAGCGAATAGGTTTTGTTTTGAGCCACTTAAAATGTCCTGTGTGTATTTTGGGTTGGTACTCATCGCGTGCGTTGTGCCCCAGATAGTGTCAATTTATACGCAGTAACAAATAAGACGCGTTGGGGATTACTTTGAATTTTATGTACCGAGAAATACGTCTGCCGTAAATTATTAATATTTGTTATGGTACTGAGCTGTACAATGGTTGTAATTTTACCATGTCAATTTTCGGGATATACGAACCAATCGAAAAGATTGTGATGCCTTCCTTATTAATATACGTAACTGAAAATAAATAAATATAATATTTATTGACACACATATTGATATTAAGATAGTGGTTTGAATTTTAGATATTTAGATTGTGATTGTTTGTCAGAAATTTACATAGTTGTTCTTGCTACTTTACGTTTTCCGTGTTAACTAAATATCTAAAATATTTTTAAATGCCCTATAAGTTTATTTTGGGCATTTATTTGTTTACTATTTTCGTTGCATTTCATTTTCCCCAATGTTTTATGAATTATTTCAGTTTTCTTTTTAATGTTTCAATTTTGTGTAGACTTTTTATGCATATTTTTAAGTACTCACTAGGCTTATCGTAGGTATACAATGTCTATGTGTGTAGATGACTACTGGTGGCTCCTTATTTAATAGATTATTCATAATTTGTTTATCATTTTCAAATATTCCCGAATATTACATCATGATCCCTATTCCCTCAGCACACGGGAGTTCTTTCTAAGCTTTCTTTGATTTTTAATTTGGTCTCTGAACAAAGATTTATGTATTAATGCTATGAATATATGTTCAAATTCTGGAAAATATTTGAGGGTTTCCTGGATTAGCAGAGATCAATGCAACAATACCACCTGAGTGCCTTTTTTGTGGTATTCTTGTAATAAATTATTTGACATTGACATTAAAGTCCTGTGGTATATATTCTGATGATAACCTCATATTATATTGCCATAACATGAACTTACATGTATCAACCAACTTTTAGTTTTGAATACTAACATGGATGTTTTGTCACTTTTTAACTTATTTTATTCAGATATAAATAGACACTTGTGTGTTTGATTTACTATAGGGTGTAAGAAGGCTAGTGGAACAGCATGAGGCTGATCCAACAGCATTACAACTACATTTAATGATGATGATGAAGAACCAATCATTGAAGGATGAAGAAAGAGATTTAAAGACAACCATCCTAGAGAGAAAGATAACTGAATTAGAGAATGAGAAAGCACTTCGAGAGGCTCAGTGTACTTTCATGCGACAACAAGTGGACACCCAAAATGAGCAAATGGTATGTTGTATGTA